AGCAGTAGTTACAGGCACATAGTTGGTGGAAAACTCCTACCTTAGCCTTGGTTGCATGTTTGATTTTGTTTTGCTGCATTACAGGCAGCATCCCTGAGGCTACTATAAACATAAGTGTGGTTCAACAGCAATTGCTCCTTCCTCTGTTCTGAGATGCCACAGACAAGTGTTGAGGATCAAAGCTATATTTTACTGGGGATATGCTCATACTACAGTCTCTGGGGTATATGCTAGCATAATTTACAACAACCTCAGTGAGCCTGGTTTGACATTTTAAAGCTATCTTTTGGCACATCATGCTCAGGTGGATTCAGAAATATATGTGTAACATAAAACTGTAGTCTTGATCACTGCCCCAAATCTCCAGTAACTTTCAAGGCCACTTTATTATAGACTGTCAAGTTCCAAATTCTGTAACATTCTGTAAATGTAAGAAATGACAATGTTTTCTTTCTGTATTGATTTTCAGTACACCTTTTTTCCCCCTATTGATCCTTTTCCATGCATTTTCACTTTTAATATTAGGCGCTGATAAACAATCAGTCATGACAAAAGAACCCTTGTTTTTTCAGTCGATTGACCATTTGGCACTAATTTATTACTGGACTATCTTCCTGTAATTGCACTGATATATAAAATATATCAACACGTATTTAAGAACTCCAGCTGTAGAAATGCATTGGGAAAGTTAATATTCATGAAGCCTCCGCCAGATATTTTTTACTATGATTTTACAAAATTTCTTTTATCCACGAATGCCAAATAGAATATTCCTACAACATTTTACAATGTTAAGTTACCTGACATTAAAAATGCTTTTCAGCATTGGATTTGCCCTGTTAATGTTTTCTATTTGAGTGAGGCTGATAAGCTTAATGAGCTCCTCTAATGAGAAAAATCGAGTAAGACAATTATGACGCCTGTATGATCAAATAGCACAGACAGCACTGAAAGACTTGGGTATCATGCTTTTTCTCTTCTCTTTTTACTAAAACAAGCCTGATTAGGCAGTTTTAAGTTTCCTGTTCTGAAAAAGAAACTACTTGTTCTCTTCCACTGCAAGTCCAAAATTTGTTGACTTTTCAGAATGGAGTAATCCTTAACTTGCAAAAGGCACTGCAATTTAACAGTTTCAACTGTTCAAAAACATGAGTTTGGATCTCTCACAGAAAAGCAACTATTTGTATCTGATGAGGAAGTACTCCTTGCTCTCTCTAATCCTCTCAACTGAGATTTCTTGTAAGTTATGTCCAATATCCAAGAATCAGGAGTCAGATACAGAGCTAGCAAGGACTCACCATTAAACTTTAAATGTTCTCTCTTCACTGTTTTGGAGATGGGATATGGCCAACTGTTAGGGAAGACTGCTGTAAAATTGCTACTCATTATCCTTCCTTTTCAAACTTCATACTTTTCAAATTAAACATCTTTTGGGTAACCTACAATAAAGAATTAAAAGCCCTTTAAGGGATCAGTGAGACTAGATACACTGAAAAAAAATTGTCAGGATGTAAGAAAAGCTCCTCTTGAGGAAAAAAATGTTACCAAATTGAGATGAGCTGGGTATTACTGCTACAGTGCCTACCACTGTCTAGAAGAGCTAGAGAAGCAAGGAGAGAATGTGCACTTCCTTACTTGCACAGCATCCAGTTTCCTGTAGCAGTAATTCAGCAACAAGATCAATACAGCCAAGAAGCAGGAAAAGAAAGAGAAGCCTTCTTTTCACAGTGACCCTGCAGCTGCATCACATTCGTGTTACTTGCCTGAGTGCACAAAGCAGTGAAAACAGACTAAAACAACTACTTTTGCAGTCTATCTTTCAACGTTCTGGTATTGAATAAACACAATCTAAGATCTAAACTGGCCAGTGGAATATGAATGAGTATGCTGTTCCTCCCAACAATCAAAGTTTAGTTTATGGCTGTACAACATGACAATCAACTTAAGACTTTGGCCAAGTTAAGCAAACCTAAGTCTTAAAAAAAAATTAAAGATGAGAAAGAACATCTTAAAGTAAGTTTTCATTTTAGAAGTAGAGCAATTTATCATTTTAACTGTATTACAGTAAAAACTTCTCCAAGTCAAACTATTTTCTGTTATCTTGGGCAGAATAATACTTTGTCATAATGTTGACTGTTTCACGGACTCTCACTTTTCAAGTGATCTCGAGACAAGAGACATTCCATAGTCTCCACAACTCTCAAAATTTTCTCCATCTCATTCTGCTCAATACAGAGGCCAATGACAGCTCCAAAAAATACAGGAGCAAAGAGTATACTTTGTTATTTGATAGAAAAACTCTACATTTATTAGACAGCTACATCATTGAGATGTACAGGCAAGCCTGTACAGAAGGAAAATCCTGGTGTTCAGCAGAATCCTCCAAAGAATAGCAGGATCAAGTGCCCAGCATTGTTAAGAGCTAGTGAGCTAATTTGGGGACCGTGTGGAACTTGCACAGCAAGTAATGCTAAGGATCTTGGTCATCATCTGCAACTCCTTGACACAACTGTAGCAAAAGTTATCCTCATATCATGATATACTTCCTGACTTCTCAAGAAAAAAAAAATCTTCAGATTTGATGCAGACGAAGATTAATAGTCCATGAAATGTAAATAGGTAATAAAGTAGCACATCCTAATGAAAAGTTTTAAGGTTAGTATTGTGCCTGAAAGGCTGCTCAAAGTTAGTTGCATTCTCTTTAATGAAGCAAAATAGTATTTCACAGAAGTAAGAGCAACCCAAGAAGTGATATCAGAATAAGGTATTGCCATTGCTGAGGCTCTCTAGCAACTCAAAGGTTAACTCAGCAGCCTACCACCAGCACTCTGTTTTTCTGACATTCCTTTTTTTCCTACTTTTCATTCCACTAAAATCAGAAAAATGGGAGGTGACTGGCTCCAACTCTTATTCCCATACTCTACCATTCATATACTTAACTGCTTTCAGCTTATGGAGATTCTCAACCAGCATTTAAACTCTTTTTTTTTTCCTGACAGCATCCAACATCTTTTGGAGAACTCCATTTGAGATCTAACCACTTCCCATAATTTCACACCCTTCTGCAAAGCTTTTTTCATCTGGTTTGTAAACTAAAGTAGAAATTTAATTGCTAAGTTCTTTAAGAACTGCAGGCAGTTTTCAATGTGGAAGGATGCTAAAATACCTGCTCACAATGTGTGAACATTGAAGAAAAGCATGCAATATAATCAAGGTAAAAATTACTTAACTGCTTCCAGAGACCATCCCATACAGTTCATCTGAACATTGGATACTCCCATTTTAGAATCATGTGCAAGATCACTGCTAACCAGATGAAGCCATCTCTCCCAGTCTTTGCAAATAGTAATCTCCAAGTACTACACATCTGAATTTGTGTGCCCTTGTCTGAATCAGTTTATCCTATCTTTTATAGCTTCTGAAGTAAAGTTTAAGTGCCATATACAGTGTCCATAAATAACTCCTAGCAGAGAGACATACTGCTGCATTAAAGCAGTTGGACTTTGGCTTGTTGGCTTTTATGTCAGTGAGTGATAAAAAGTTTCATAGGTAGCTCATGTATTCATAGTAGCAGCACCAAGACTGTGAGCAAGCACTTAAAAGTTGTTTTAGAAAGGTATTGTACAAAGTCAGACCATTTTATTTTAGTATGTATGTGAGTAATCTCTGTCAAGAAATACCCTGAGGAAGTGTGCTCAATGTTGATTTACACAAGCTATAGTGGGTGTCTGGCTATCTGCCCCCACAACAGAGGTACTTTCTAAAGACAGCCTTGTTCTCTTTCACTTCTCAGAAGAATGAAAAATAACTTACTTGTTTACAACCACAGAAGCCAGCAACAAGAAAACAGTTCTCCTTCAGACATACAAACCAGGCAATCTAGATCAAATGCAAGATTCAAGACTCTTGAAAAGCAAGCCACATAACAGTAACACCAGGTTGAGTAAGATCCTGCTCAGATATAGAAAACCAAGCTATTTGTGCTTTTCTCTATATCAAACAAAGAACATTCAGTATCTTTGACAAAGATGCTTTTTCTTGGAATTGTTGTATTTTGTCTGCTAACAATGAGCAGTTGAAGCCTTAAGTTAATCAGTCTAAAAAAAATTTCATGTTTTCACCTCTGTCTAGTGGTCAGCCAGCTTTCCTGACTTCACAAAGTCTTTTGTCCAGTTATATAATGATACCTTGCAAACACAGGCTTTACGTTTCATAAAGTCCAACCAAACCACAGCTTGGACAAGAAGGTTCCAGTGAGTATTTTTTATGTTGTAGCTTAAGTAAGAAAAGTAACTTGAGAATTTATTAAAAAAAATACACTAATAGCACCCAGAGCCATTTTAGTATTACCAAATTGTAGACTCCCCACCCAAGTTTTCAGTAGTAATAGTTTTAATTCTGTAAGACTTAAGAGCTAGTATCAACATGCCTTTGTTAGTTTTGTAATTGGCAGAAATTCACGTGGGATGCCCTTACCACACAATACACTAAAGACATTTTGGCTGCAGGCAGAAAGATAGTTGAAGCAGTGTGTAGAATACTAAGTCTAGTTGAAGTTGGGCTATTTGGGGTTTTATTGGCAGATATGGAAAAAAATTAAATTTGAATCAAAAAACCTGAAACTCCTATTCTGAGGCAATTCCATTCTTGAACATCAAGCCTTGACAATTTCACTCTTCATATCTTCACGTGTTGTATCACTTACAAGGCTGATTGTCAGACAGCAGTGCTAGATCAAACCAATCTGGTTTTCAACTTCGTCAGAGCTCACTGTTGTTAGATATGTGAAAGTTAACGGTGTTGCTACATGTTGACACACAATCATAGATTTTAGATTCACACCAAAGCTCTGCACAGCCAAGAAACTTTATCTTCACTAGCATGAACAGACCACCTTTCTCCATCATGCATGCAAACACATCAGAAGAGCACAGCAATGGTAGTCTAAGAAAAAGTATCTACACCACAGTTAAGGCAAAAAAGGAGAAAATGCACCGGGATCAGTCTGTATCAAAGCCATCTATTATTTCAGAGAAAATAAAAACCAGATTGAAGACAGCACACTTCTCTTACACAGACTAACTCATTACTACTACTTTTTTTGTGTATCAGAACATACCCACACCATTCAGTGCATTCATATGCAATACTATATCTACCTTTCAGAAAAAGGAAGGCCCAGGATATTCTACTTTGTCATAGACATCACCTTTACTGTTTTTCCAAGCATGACAACTTAAGTAAAAAAAGTCAGAGCACAAAACATTTTGAAGTTTCAGCTACCACCATTTGTGTTCTTTCGTGATAGTAGTTTACACATTTTTTTTCTGAAAACCCTCCTCCTGAAACTTAAATGGGCTTTTTCAAAACATTTTACAGGAGAAAGAGCAAGCTGGGAATAAGTTCAATTCTGCTTAGAATCCCCAAAGTTACAGCTATATCTGGCAAATTTCACATCTTCAATTTAATCACTCCAAATTAGAAGTTCTAGTTAATGCCAATTAATTGCTCACTCAAGCCCTGCAGGGGAAAATAAATATGCTCATGAATAGTTTATAATGCTGTCTTTGGAAACAAATGTATTAAAGCAGCTAAAGAGTTTCCCATGCATCTGGTTTACTAGCTACCAGACAGATGAGGGCTAAAGGTGCTTTGACTTTCTGGGGATCTTCTGAGAGGACAAAGTAACTGCAGAGGCAAGGTATGTGCATGCACCAACTGTTTTAGCTGCAAGTCAGACACCTCAGTGTTAAACAGCAGTTTACAGAAGCATTCTCTTCCAGTAAGGGGATGCTCTAAATACTGCTGCTTGCCAGAAATGGACTTAGAAATTGCTGTAGCTATGGATGTACCCAAAACAAAGCTGTTCTCAGGTAGGGGGATAAAATGAGCAATTTAACAGTGCACATGAAAAGCTTGCATCTTTCACTGACTTGTTCACTTCACAATCACTGACAAGACTGATGTACATATTTCTGCACCTGCAACTGTAAAAGCAGATAAAATATTTAATATGTAATTTACAATGTATTTTATCAGCTTGGCATACAGATGAACAGAATATATCAAAGTAGTTGAGTTATAGGCTTGTGGAGGCCCTGCAAAAATATTAATTCAGATATCTGCTAATTTTAAAAAAAATCAATTTGCATTTTAGAAGTGATACAATTCCATCTACCACAAAATACAAAGAGCTGCAAAAACGTATACCATTCCAACAACAATGTATATAAGTTATTAAATAATGATCTGATTTAAAAGAATATAAATGAAGCCTTTAAGTAGGTCTTTTCTACATGCATATTATTCCTCATTAAAGAAAAATATGTAAAAAGGCCATTGGTAATTGCTTTGTTAACCACTGTAGAAAATGCCAATTCTCTGGTCACAGACGCCACTAGTTTAGCACTTAAGGTCTCTGCAGTGTTACATGTGATTATTTTTAAATACTGTTAATTCTATTACTCCATTGGTAAAGAATGTGTGACTTGGAATATGGCAGTCTTCATATTGAGAGGGCAGTGATGCACAGTTTTATAATTATCCAGAAGAACAGCACCCTCCACTGCTCTGTACTTGTGGCTCATCATCAATGATCTGTACACCTCGCCTTGCTATTCCTGACTGACTGGAGCCATTGCCTCTTGCTCTTTCTTCCACTTGAGCAGTTTCTATCATTCCTGTAAAGAAATAAATGTATTAGATTACATTCCACGGCATTAATTTCACCACATTTTTACATTAAGACTCTGCTATCTTAATCTATCTGAACTATATGCACTGAGACAAAAGTTCAGCAAGAGTGGTTCTATTTGTCATGCAGAACTAAGTACTCGGGTATCACATAGCAAAGCTACAAGAACATTAAATCCTTTTTTAAAGCACCCAACATATAGCAGCTCCTGGTAACTAAGGGAGACCACAGAGACCCCCAGGCGTCCTGGAGTTAGCAACTTCAAAAGCTAGTTTTACCCACCCATATTATTAACACTGTTAAAAAACCCCAAACAACAAGAAACTCCACCTTCCCAAATACTCTGCCCTCAAAAACCCCAACAACTACTTCTTCATAAATACAGAAGACCTTATCCTGAAATTCTTTTATCACAGAAATACAACTAATAGGATAATTTGCTTGTGCTGGATTTTCATCCCACATACCATGATCTTTACCATTTAAGATTTCTGTGTAAAATTTGCATCATTAAAGCTTGGAGTTTGTGATTTGTAATTGACATCAGTTGAGAAGATTTTTGAAAGAGGTTGAAACAGAGGGTTTGAAGCAAGCATTGGTGAGACCAGTAACAGGAAGTTTGACTTTGGTTATTACTTATGCATGGTAAGTGGAACAGCAGTCAATGCTCCAACAAATGACCATGATATTTTTGGAGTACAGAATGAATTTTCAATATTGTAAGCATCCATACATCAAACTTCCAGAGCTGTTACAGAACACAACTGGCTTGAAGTAGACTGAAATGAAGTCAGTTCTAAGTAGTACTTTACAGTAAAGCTTTGTATATGGCCTGAAAAAGCACTTTTGAAGCCGGAAGCATTTTATAAATGAGTCTTTACTAACAAACTACATAATACTTACTTTTGCAAAGGTCAAGAAACAGTTCTTCAATTCCTTTGTTCTGTTTAGCTGACGTATGATAATGTTTTGCTCCAACAGATTCAGCATACCTGTAGAAATGCAGATATGGAGCCTCATTGTAGTAAAGGACTCAGTATTTCTAAATCACTTTACACAAAGGAGTAAGATGACAAAAAGAGGTTTATTCTCTCTTCAGGAGTTAATCTACACACACTTATTTAATTTAAAAAACAGAGTTGTGTTTAAAACTGCCAGAATTCATGCAACACACTAGATGAAACTTCATGTCTAGAAATGGATTTAAACTGCAAATGTTGATTTTAATCACAAACTACTCTCAAGCCACAGTTTGGTCAGCCAGGACACCGTGTGACTCAGATACTAACAGAACACTCAACAACTGGCAGGCATAAACCAGCAGTGCCTAGCTGGCTGCTATGTTAACAACATCACGAGTTTATTACTCCAGCATAATTCTGCAATGACTGTTTCTATTAGTAATAGGTGTGACTTACATTTCTGCTTCTTGCACTGAAACATGTCTCTCTTTTTCCAAGTCTATTTTGTTACCTGTTGAAGACAAGTTAATCTTTTAAGTCTTTGTACTCTAAAATGACCCAAAAAGAAAGCAGACATGTAAGCATGGTACTCCATTTTCTCAAGCCATCCCAGTAAAAACGCTCTTACACAGGTCTCACTTTCAAGGATAATATGATTTAAGAGTCTCCTTTCACACAAGTATTTACAGGCAATGAAGTGCTACTTCTGTAGAGACATCAGGACAGCTAAATGCCTCCACATAATTTAGCCTTTTGCCCTTTTCTTTGTGATTTGTTAGCACTTTCTATGTGCTGCAGAGGTAATTTTTGTAGCATGTCCACATATCTAACCTCATGAAACTGTTTTAATAATTAGATCATTTCTGTTGCATTCCATTTGCATTGAAATAGCCAAGCTTTAAGATTCACTCCTACCTGCAAGCACATAATTATCAAAACAGACAAGCACCTAGTCTATGCCACCAAGAAAAGCCAGCAGTTGAAAGGATAATATAAATTGTTTTGTTAAACTACAGTCTGCAGGTGTCTGTACCATGCACTTCTGAAAGTGTACAATTAAAAAGCTCATTTTTTCAATCAAACTCTTATTTTCCTCCATGTGATTTACTGAAACGTCTAGCTCCAGTTTAATTTTAAATATCTAACATAAGCTTTAACCCTTCACATGTACAAGCTGTCAAAGCAGCATTTGGAAGACACTATTAATCAAAAGAGATGTTTCCAATTCAGTCATGTTGAAAAATACTTACCTACTATACATAAACAGATTTCATTTCCCAACATTTTTCTTAATTCCTTAACCCAGTTTTTTACCTGCAAAAAGAACAGAGGTGAGTTTGATATACTATTAACTTAGGCAATGTGGAACAATCCCATTTCCTTCATTAACCATCTACTCTAAACTTAAAGCAAAAGTGTTTAGAGCAACAGATGGGAAAATATTTTTTAGAAATGGATAGCTACACATGGCCCTTATTCAGCAGGTTTTATTTCACAGGTGAAATTAAGAGCAAATTACTTAGATAAAATCATTAAATTACTCCAGAAATATAACTCACCACACTCAATATAGCAAGTTCACTGCATGGGCTACTTCAGGTCAGACATGACATCCTTTATCAACAGGCACTTACTGACAGAACACAAATAGTACTTTAAAGGTAAAGGCACCTGAACTGAGTTTTTCAGGTTAGATTATAACAGATGTTTATTTCACAAGAGAATAGATGGGAAAAGCATGTCAAATCAGCTGAGGGTAATGTATCTGTTATCAAATCTGTTGTCATGCTTTGAAAGTTGTATGATCACTGCACTGACTTAGGAATTGTTTTAAGGGAACAATTGTGAAGAGAGGCAATCACTTCAAGAATCTAAAAATAAATTAGGCTACACGATACAGTAGTAATACTTCTGCAGTAACTTCTGCAAATCAACCTTCCTTGTTTCCTGCACATTTAAATGTTTTGGTACCACAGGGTTTTACCACGTAGGGTTCAACATGAAAAGGCACACATTGAAGTAGTATCCACAAGTCATCACCATTCTGCAGGTGGTGGCAAGTGTTTAACTGCTAGCACAAGTTCTTTACTTGCCCTACACCAACTGTTTAAATTAAGGTGCTATGAATCTGTACCCTTACTCTATTACTTCTAACCAAAACCTTGCCCATACAACCACAATTTCTTACTTCTCTCTACACAGAAGTCCAACTGGTTTTGCCAAAAGCTAATCAGACACAAACTTGTCCAGTGTCACCAGTTTTCAGCTGAGACATTCTATAGAGTGGGAGCATAAATTGACACAGGGTAGAAAAACCTCACTGATCAATCTAATCAACTAATACAGCCATAAAATAACTAGTCATAAAATAAGATATTTTGATGAGGATTTGAAGAACAAATAACTGATCAGAGACTGTAATGTCTCCATTATCATGTATTACAATTTAAGAGTTCTCAGAGCTGTAAAAGGTCATGCCACTTAGTATCTTTTCTTAACTTGGTTTATATAGTAAAGATCAGTATGGCACACCATGACACCAGTCCAGGTTTATGTTAATAGCCTGCCACAGGTGACTTGCACAGCTACATCACAGATTATTCTGGGCTGGAAGGGACTCACAAGGATCATGAAGTGCAATTCTTAAATGAATGGCACATACAGGAATCAAACCCACAACTTTGGCCTTATTAGGACTGTGCTTTAAGAAACTGAGCAATTTAATTCTCTGGTGTTCTTTGAATAATCTGATAGCAGTGAAGTCAGTTCTTCAAAAGAATACTAATAAGCTGTATAACTCCATTACATGATCTACATTTGCAAATATAATACATATTGCTGAAAACAGAAGACTTCTGTTTACACACATCACAATTATCTTTCAACCAGTTTAGACATAAAAGCTTCCCAGTACCTTTTGAAAAGAGTCTTCATCTGTTATATCATATACTAGAATAGCGCCATTAGAGTCTCTGTAGTAGATAGGCCCCAATGCATGAAATCTTTCTTGACCAGCTGTATCCTGCATTTAAAATATATTTGTTAGTATTTAAGACAAAGCAAACAATACTTCAAGGAATTCCAAATACTTAGGAAATTTTACTTTATTAAGAACTATCAATACTTGAGATATAGAAAGCCTAAGTAACTTTTTTTTCAAAAAAACATTCTGATTAGCTAAGGAGGAAAAAACAGAAATGTAAACATACCCATATTGCAAGATTTACTCTTTTCCCACCAATATTTAGCTTCTTCGTAAGAAAAGATGCCTGGAAAGCAAAACAGATTTTAGTTAAATTTTACACACCAGACACATAATTTGACTTCAAATTAATTTATTAATAAAGCATCAGAATCAATGAAACAAATTTCCAGATCAAAAGACTAAGCAAGAAGACTAAGCCAATACTAAGCTAGTTAGTCATTTCACTACAGTTTGCCAGCAGTCTAGTCTAAATAAATTTGGGTTAAGAAATCATTTACTACATCTTTTTGCTGTTGTTTTGAATTATTTGGGAAGGATGAGTTGCGTGGAAAGAGTCTGAATTCACAACACTGGTATATCTAATCTGAACTTAAAGCATTTCACAAGAGTACATGAAGTTGAGGTAGGAACCAGTCAAACAAGATTTTTAATCTGCAGGAATTAGGCAAAGTAGTTTACTATTAGTAAGTTACTAAAACCATAAAGAATTGTTTTAACTTATCACGAAATATCTTGGAACATTAGTATTTCACAAGCTTCCTTGTCTCTAACTTTTTCCTTTTTTTTGCTGAAGTGAGCCCACAACTCACCCTCATCTGTTTTTTGGTTCTGTGTTTTTGTTTGAGCTGAGAAGCCTCAGAATAAGCATACAAGCTGCTTTAGAATTCCATTACTTTAACCTCTGGTAATGTTTTACAGGACCAGAGCACATTGCAAGGTTAATCTAATTTTAGTAACTTGAGTAGGTCTGGTTTCCTCCAAACTTGCATGATTCACATTTTCAGACACCACCTCTGTTACTAAGTCTGTAATTCGATGGCTAAAAAGGGAATATAATTTAATACAGGTTTAATGGACCAGAACAGGGTCTCAAGGTGCTGATGCATTAGGAACCTGCTCCCCCATTCTAAAGACTAGCAGTAACATATATCAAACAATTCAGTTAACAAGCGCTAACTTTTGTCTTCGGCCTTAATTACAGTCAGTTTTGCTTTCAGTTTTACCTCCGTTTACATTTGGGTTCAAACAAGTACTCTGTGGTATTTTATTAGACATTCATCACAGATAATTTTAGGCTGGATTGCAGCAGCTCAAGAAGAGCTCTTTCTACAAGTACTGACCAGCCACAGAACCAAGTCACATGTGCAAAGTGTCAGGGGTCAGACGAGCTACTGGAACCAGCTTGCTGCTTAACTACACAAGCAACCAGAATGCACACAGAAGACCACAACAGTTTCAAAGAACACCAGCCTAAATTACTGTCAAAGTGCCTTTCTGGAGTGCTGCCTGTATTACAGTTAAAATCATTCAACATTCAGTTGCTACAGCAGCTCCTGCTTCAGCTACCTCTCTACTTCCACACTTCTGTATGACCCAAGATGAGATGATTAAAAAAAAAACCTTTTCATCTTTCAAGTTGTACCTTCCCCCAAACCTTTCCACAAAGTCTGATGATAAGAACAGAGAGAGAGAACAGACCAGAAGAAAAACACTTTCCAAGAGCAGATTGCAAAGAACTGATCACTACAACCCATAACTAAAGCATTAACACTACAATACCCCTCTCAGTCGACAGTGAAGGGACTCACTGTAGTGTCAAGAGTCTGGAAAAACTTCCAGACAGCATGTTAAATGGAGATATGACCCTCTAGCCAACTTGTAACAAATAGCTTAACAGAAGAGTAACAAATCTTCAGCATCAGAAAACTTTTCATTCTTTAATTAAAAACTCGAGAGAAAGTAGTTGATGGCTTTCAAACAGCTGTCCCTGAGGATTAACTCATCAGAAGTCATCATTTGTTGTATTACACCATAGTTTAAAAGCCAGAAGCTTGGAGGCAACTTCAGAACTTCTAATTCACCAACACTTGGGCTACAGGGAGAGAAGCTATTGTTAGGCACAATGAATCAAGCTTACTTGACAATATTTCATTGACCTGCTGTACTACAGTACTCAACATTCTACCATGAATCTCAAAGGAAAAGCTCTTCTGAGCAATGTTTGCTTTTCTCATAACACCAACAATCCAAACCTGCTTAGCTGATGTGAAATCCACACAAGTTTTTGAGAATCAATTTCTGAACAGAAAAATCCTTCACACAAAGGGGATTTATATTTAAAAACACAGAATTCAGTACCCATAAAGTCCTATCATTATAGTTTTAGCCAATGACACAGTTAACAGCACAAGTGTATCTATCTGACAGAGCAAAAACTAAAGTAGGTTTATCTACACAGGTAAGTTTTGTTTCAGTTAAACCTGTCCTTCAGGTACTATAGTTTTTGATAGAAATACTATCTTTTGTCACTCAGATATAGATTTCCATTTTTTATATACTCCTACATGCAGGTAAGGCTTCTTAGTATTGCAAAATCATCCATAATCACAGGAGACTGTGGCAAGGGTATTTAGCACTGGACTATCCTACTTGCTGTCTGTATTAAAACTTGATGAATTTGTAATGATTATGTTTTAGTCTACCTAAAGTCATAATCAAAAAAGGAGAGACAGTACCCTGAGTACAAGCAGGTTTGTCTGATAATAAGATTGGAACCTGGTATTTGAAGCAGTCATGGTTAGCAATGAGCAGAAAGCTTTGTGAACACGTTGGAGGAAACTATCAATACTATACTACAGATTTAATGCTTCATTCTTCTTTATTTTGTTCAAATACTTGAAGAATACAGTTAACAGACTCTGCTCATGAATTAGTAGGTATGGCTAAGTTTGGTGCATTTAGTATCAATAAAACATATTTTACATCCACAGTGGCAAACATGACAAAGACAAATCAACTAATATCTTTAAACCTTTCAACACACACATACCCCTCCCCAACCATTCTGAGGTTAGTGAGAGAGAAAAAAACAAACAAGGGAATAGCAAGGCTAAGCAGTCTTTAGAAATTTGGGAAAACCCAACACATAAGAGAAAGTCTTAACTTCTGTTTTCAGACAGGTTAGAGAAAAAGTCAGTTGCCAAGTTTAATGTTTGTCAAGTTTCAAAATCAAAGCCTTTGACTACCTACAGGACGTTAGGTAATTACACATAGAAAAAGCTTCAACGTTTTCTCTAATCTCCAAAAAAATTACTGAATTGAGTACTACAAGTCTGAGCTGCGACTCCATTTACACTCAGTAGCTCTTTTCCATATTATTTTAATTACTACAACAGCTGATTTTTGCTAGGACTTTCAAAAACTCACAGGGCTATGATTACTTTAAAGATAAGTAATTTCAAACAACTCTTTGAAGCTTCTAATTTTCATATTTTGACACTGTCTTATGACTGGTTTGAAGAATACTTAGGCACTTAGAAAAGAATAATGCAATTATAAGCGCTAAAATTCCTATCTTTTGATGTGGCTGTAGGAAATACTTTCTTCCTTTAAATTCCTTCTTCTGCGAGTTCAGTTTTGTATGCCCACCAGGACCTGCTAGGAGCTGATAAAGGGGCTTGAGTGGAACACAAGAAAGATAACATAGCTGGAAGAGAGTATCCTGAAAGTCACTGAACAAAAGCAGGTGTGTGGCACCTGCCCTTGAGTGCTTCATGCTCAACAGAAGCAGGTCAGGCGTACAAACACTGCATATAGCTTCCTTACGTTTGTCTTCCACCCATCCCCAGCTGTCTTGATAACCAACATATCTTTTCCAAGTCCATCAAAGCAATCAGGAACTTTAAAATTACCACATCAACAGCTCTCTCAGGTTGGATATTCTGCAATACTCCATACATTTATGAGAGCAGTATTCAGAAGCTGTATTTATCCTGAGTAATTACATAATAAAAAGTATTTACCCAATTAAAAAAAACCAATAGTTTGACAGTAGGCTTATTACTGGAGAAATTCCAGCACAGTTCACTTGGTATCAATTTATGTATTCTAATTATTGTATCAATATGAGGGCACTTCAGTATTTCAAACAATGGGAACAAATTCTAACTGCCCTGCCAGGTCTGCCAACAGGTTATTAATTATATTAATTGTGTGCAAAACCCCTACTCTTCCTACATCCACAGCTTTTCCACAGTGTTCTAACTAAATGCTTTCTTCTGTGAATCAGTAGCTACCTTAACTTCACATGCAGGTCATCAATACCTTAAGTACATGACTTGATACTAACACAACTACAGCAACACATCCCAGCAGCCTCCTAAATCGGAGGAGGTTCAGTGCACTCCAGTTAGCACTGACAGACGGGGAGTGGGGAGGCAGGAGAAACTGATCCCTTTAATCAAAATCTTCTGTTACTAGCACCAAAGAAACTTACCTATTTGGATATACAAAGAGTAACTTCACAGTAGAACAACATCACTAGATGAAGTTTCTAGAAGGCTACAGTCTCATCACCCTTTTTGTTGCAAACATACTGGAATAAAACACTATGCAATACTTTCTTTCGTTTAAGTTAGAGAATATTGTGGATAGAGAGCGTCCTGTCTCAATATCTAGTGATCTTGTCATATGATTCATCGTTGTCACTCCTTCCTTTGCTGGACCAGGAGCAAAGTATTTATCTAATTTTGGCTTTATTGGAACAAAAGGAATTTGGTGCAACACTTTGAACTGTTGCCATGAAACAAAGCAACCTTATCAAATTAAGCCTTTTATCTTAAAAAAAACCAAAGGATGCTTTGCAAACATGTTACTTCATTACTTAATCAGATACCCTAGTTTCTCTTCATCTTATTCTTAAATTATCTTTTAATTTAATAGTGGAAGAACTTACTTCATCTTTTTTCATAGAACTGTAAGATGCAGAGAAATAAAAATAATAAAGATAATACTTTACAAGTGCACATGATGCACAGTAAGACTCAACAGCAACTGACATTGTATTTTACAACCAGCAAGATGCATATGTGGCCAAGGAGGCTCAGAACAGAAAAGCAAACAACTTGATAAACAATGTGCAGTCAGTTAAAAGACACAGGTGGCAACCACAAACCTGGTTACAGTGGAGAAACAAAATCTCAGTAGAAACTGCAAGCACGTGCTTCCACTCCTCAACACGCCCCTCTCCAGACAGTCAAAACCAAGAGCTCTGGAGCCACGCTATCTACAGACAATTTGCTATCAGCATTTTAGAGCAAGTTAAAAGTGTGCTTTATGATATTTGTGGCCCAAGTCTGTATTCCAACCCACTTTTTGCTTCTAATTTTAGGTTTTCCACTATTTTTCCAAGAATAAAAAAACCCCAAACAACAAACAAGCTTAATCGCACAACAGTCTACTCGGACCTACTCTTAAAACATGGGATATGAGAATTCAGCTATTCGTCATCATTTTGATGCACTTTAACTGATTGCTTGCTCATGCTACAATTCTGCTGCACCTCTGACACCTACAAGGTACCAGGCATCTCTGTGGCATGACAGCTACAACTACCTTCCTATAAACACCCTACCTAGTAAACCTACGATAGATTAACCCAAAAACCTGAGTATTAACACAGAATAACAAAGTCTAAAACATATTATTTTCACCTCTTCACAGTACAAATGAAGCTACGTTATCTGTTTATGAAACATTCTCTGTATTGCTTCTAGTGTAGCTATAATGCTGCTTTGGTTTTAAGGGAAAATTTCACTATTAATTACTTCTGAGATACACAATTCAAGAAGTTTCCCCTAAATGCATGGGAATGGCACATAACTACCTTAAAACCCTTTCCTTCTTAAGATCGCCTACTATTTCTTCTGTACTTCAAGAAACTCAGATTTAGTTCAAAACCCACTACAGGTCCACCAAGTGACAGAGCTTGTTTCTTCATTTGAAAGAAAAAAAAATTAAGAGTGGTATACAGTGAATCTACACTCCCACCGACACAAGCGGACATCCTGAAAGACAACACACCACTCACAACACAAACTTCAAAACACGTTTTCTGAGACCATGTACAGTACAAGCAGTTTATTCTGTACCATGGCATCCACGCCATCCATCACTAACTAGTAGGCCATGAAAAAAACCCATTACTTTCAAGCAGGCACCCTGTCACATTTTATTAGCAGAGCATCACTTTGTAGTTCTTTATAACAGCAGACAGTGCTCTGAGAACGCAGCCAAAATTCAAGGAGCTGTCGTGACAAGCAGCTAAGCTTTAAGAATCTTTCCCATTATTAAATCATAAGCCTTAATCTCATAAACCATTTTGTGAAAGCCGTTCTCCTTAAACAGAAACGTTAAGATAGTGTTATTGTTAGAATTTAAGAACATGAGGAAGACTGCGATTAACAGAAACGCAGCACGTATGAAACACTTAGTCATCAGTCCACTAACAATGATTACAATAACAACATTACTTTTGCATCATACTTATCCAAGAGTCAAATGAAGACATTCATATACGTAACTGGAAAAAACGGAGCAGTTAGTATGCAGAACAGAAACGAGGCCTAGACATACTAAAAGCTTAGATGTGAGGCTTGAAAAGAACGAGAAAATCTGTTTCCAGCAAACTCGGTAGGGGATAGCCACAATTAGCGAGCGGCGACGGAGACTGGCTGCCACTAAGCCGCAAACAAGGCACTGCCAGCAGTGCGACGAGGTGCGCAAGGTGAGGGGAGAACAACAGCGGAGAGCCCACAACAGTGGGAGAACCCCCATTCCACCACCGCCCCGGCCCGGCCCGCACCTGCAGGGTGGTGATGTGCTTATCGTTGAACTTGTTCTCGCAGTAGCGCAGCACCAGCGAGGTTTTCCCCACGCAGCCCTCCCCGAGCAGCACCACCTTGAAAGAGAAGCTGCGGCCCCCGGCCGCCGCGCCGGCCCCCGTCGCCATCCGCGCCCCGCCGCCGAGCCGCGCCTCACATCAACGGGCCGCACCGCGGCGCCGCCGCCGCCCACCGGGACGGGGACCCGCTGGGGAGCGAGGCTGGCGGGGAAGAGGAGGCACCGGCGAGGCCGCGGAGACAGAAGCTGGGGAGGGACACGGCAACCGAACCTGCCCCGCGGCCGCGGCCCCACTGCCCCTAATGGCGGCTTCTTCCTCCTACGTCACGCACCGCCCGGTCACGCGCAGCCCCCGCCGCCAATGGGAGGGGGGGGAAGCGGGAGCAGCGGGAGGCCCCGCCCCCTCCGCGGCTGATGGGCGGGGCGAGGGGCGGGGCTTGATGGGGGCGGGGCCAGAGCTGGGATCCCGCGCGGGCCGTGCTGTCCGTAAGGATTTATCCCTAAATCCCTGCTCCTGCACTGTATGCACCTGCCGGGCCTTTCTCCGGGGAAACCGAAAGCACTTAATAAACACCGGCATGGATTTTGTGTGATTTTCGTTCCCGTGAACTAAGTTACACTAGTCTCTAAATGTTTGCAAAAGAAAAGTCCGTAGTGAAGCACTTTAAAACAGGGATATGGGAGCAGGTGAGGAGAAAAGCACAAGAAAAACGTTCTCCTGTCGAGTTCTTTGATTGCAGGGGTCCAGTAGAGTTGCATACGCAAGAACTGGATAACTGCCTTGTAAAACTGAGTATCATTCCTTAACTAAAAGCAATCCTCACAAACCCATCCCAACGACGGCAGCGCAACCTCTCTCTAGTCATCATTTGGCGCTAAGAAAAATAATGCCAGTGAAAAGGCTTCATTGTGCAAGTTCCTTTTTCTCTGTCAGATAGTATTAATGCTCTGTTGTATGAGGAAATAAAGAGGAAAGAACGAAGAATGCATCCAGGAGAACAAGGATTGGATTTCCCAAAGTAAGAAGTCTCATCACTAAACAGTACTATATTCACACACAGAATGGATTGTTTTTATTTCCTCCAGAGGTAAGTAAAGTGAACCTTTTTCACAAATAAAGGAAATGAGAGAAGGGGAAAAAAATCAATGCAGACAGTCTTCAGGCATATCTTTTCTTTAAATAATTTTCTAGTTTTATTAGCACATAAGTACTTTCTGCAAGTTGCTATAAAAATACTGTCTTGCTGGAAAGTGGTGCTGGCTTCTCTTAGTCATGCTTTCTATGGATAGGCAATAAAACTGACTGACATGTTAGGTATTCTTTCAGGCTGAATAGAATAAGGAGGCAGAATGGAGTTTGGATTAAGTTTGCCAAAGCCAATGGAAATCAGTGCTTAGGAACACAATCTGCAGAGTCCAGCAGGTTGAGGCTTTCCTGGGTATCTGCTGGCAAATACATCTGCTGAGACACATGGCTGTGTGGAGGATTGTCTTCAAAAACCTTCTTGTTCTTACAGCCTTTTACTGTTTTTCAACAAAAACAGGTTCCACGTGCATTCTTTATAAACACACAGGATTGTACTGAAGAATGTGCCTGATTTGTACTTTTCAGTTCTTCTTTGCATGGAAATGATCCATATACCATACATCTGATTTGTTAAAAAGGTACTTTCTGCATAGGTGATTTTTCAACAATCCTAAATGTACCGTTACAGTAAACACTGTAGTGGAAATGAGACTTTCTCACTTTTCTAGTGAGAAAGAGCAGAAGCTTTGGAAAGGTCTGCACGAGAAACACCTGGTATGAAGTCCATGTGCTGAATGCACCTGGCAGAACAACTGTGAGCACGGTTTTTCTAACAGAGGGCACACCAAAACAAGACACTGACTGAAGCTCAGTTCTGGTTGGTTATTTCTCAGAGTCCTCTGCCATGGTGCACAGTCAAATGATGCATTTCCCACTGATAGCAGACTGCTGCAAGTAACTACAGTATTCCATAATTTCTGTTCTCCTCTCTGTGATTACTGATTTTGGTGTATGGGAAGTCCTGTACCAAAACTTCAGCCACCTGTATTAAATAAAATTTTAAAGGCCGACCTGGCTGAGAACAGAAAATTCCGTCAGAGCTACCTGAAGTGTCACGTTTCACTGTAATCTCATAGACTTCATAAAATCTGTAGGTTTAACTATCTGTGACTGTTACCAAGTTATTTTAATGGTGTTAATTTCATTTGGGAAGTGTTTATTTCATTTCAGAGAATTTGAGAAGAGAAAGGCTCTTTTTCCTTCAATATATTTTGCTTCCCCCTTTTACATAGCTTCCTAAAAACATTTGTGCAGACCTTCTGTGTTATCTGTGTGGCTGATTACATCTGCATGAGAAATGCCTTTCAAGATATATATTTGCATTTCATGAGGATACCACAGTACTCTGTAGCTTACTAAACCAAAACAAATTGTACTACTGTATCCATCACCATGATCTTTGATTGTTTCTGGTTAGACTTTACTCAAATGTTTTATTTCACAGGTGGTGTCATCTCTAAAAGCAAAAATAATGTGCTTCTTTAAGCTTGCATTATTAGATCTCCTTATGAAAATATTAAATGTGTTAATTCTACTGTGAACTTAAGTGTATGCAGTAGCTGTCAGTGGAGATACTCTGGTTGGTCAAGATTACAATAACATCAACAGCACCTCCCAAGCTGTGGACAACACACAACTCATTTCTGGGACAATTATGTATTGAGTATTATAAGGGTATCAGTTGAATTGCAGATAATGTCAGTCATATACTTCCATTTTTTCCTTTGGAGAATATTTCTGAGCATAATTTGACATACTAGCAGCAAAATGCTCTGATTTTATTGGATTTGCTTGGAAAAGTATCAAAATCTCAGCCACATAATATACAGTTGTATAAGACCAATGTCTATTAGAGTACAAGATGTCCAAAAAAGCAAGAAAACAGAATGGGGAAAAACCCCAACACAATAATAGCAACAAAAACCCACTTAAAATGAAGTTTATAATATTGTCAAAAAGAAAGATTCAGGTTCAGAAGAATAAAGAATAAAGGTGAAGAGCAAAGCATATGAAAAGAAAAAAGAAAAGAAAAGAAAAGAAAAGAGAAAAGAAACAAATAATTTATACAGGATCTTGACCTGGAGGGACTTTTCTGAATGTGTTTTGCCGTCTCACCCACTCAGTCACTGCTGAAAGACTCCATGTACCCATGGGGATGTACTTGACAGGTTCAGTAATGTCCTTGGAGGCTTTGTGCAGCATGACATTTTTTTCTGATTCATAAAAAAAAGTAAAACATAGAATCTGATTTCTACTTAAGAAACAATGCCAGTAAGGGACAATACTATTTTTCTTTTATAGAAAAATAGTATTATTTTCTAAAAGTTCAATTCTCCTTGTTGCAAATGTCACTCCCCCCAGGACAAGCATTCTGAATTCTTTCCACTTTGTGTTATGGTTTTCATACACCTATGTCAACATATTGCTGTGCTGAATACCATCCCCATGCAATCATGACAGATCCCCTTCCTGACAAGTAGCATCCTGGATGCATGATGAGAACAGCAAGCGTGCTGCTCTACCGGTAACTGACCCTTTGCTCTTAAGTGTCTCAACTTTCAGGAGCAAAGGCAATGTTCCAACTCCAATTGAGATGCCCTAACCCTCTAAGAGAGGGTAAACCAATGGTTTATAAAGGTAATAGTTTTAAAATGTCAGAGTTACAAAAGACAAAAACTCCCCTTCTGCAGAAGTCTGTTTACTAGATGTATGCTGTAATAGTATTAAGAATGAAAACATTTTTTTAAAAAGAGAAAAAAAAGGCACAGAAATGCTCATTTTAAACACATGCTGGCAGACCAGGGAAATTCCAGAGGAAGGCAGAACTGGTCCAAATTTAAAAAGCAAAAGTGGAACCCATGCAATCATAAACTACCTAGAATAATATCAGTCATTAGCAAAGCTTGTTTAAACAATCATGCCAATGTTTTCAAATACAGAAGCAGGCAAGTTCAAGAACAGACCCACAGGGCTGTATTCACTTAATGGGGTGGATAAAGAGTGGAACTTTGTACCAGAATATTGCTGCTGTGTGGTACAGCAGGAGATGGCACTGTCGGCTTCCTCAGACTCTGCTCAGAGTGAGAGAGATGTGCAAGTGGATCCCTGACGAGATCTTGCAGTGTGCTGACTGTGGGCCGCAGCAGTAATACTAAAAGAGAAGTTTTCATTTACCAGCTGATAAGCCAGTAGATTTTCCAGGAGCTTCTATAAAGGAATGGGAACATAAAAAGGAAGCGTGGGTGCCAAAAAGGTTCCTCAGGGGCATCCTAAAGCCTACCAGTTTCAGCGCTACTGAGCTTCAGCTAAGCAGTGAGGAGAAGATAGAAATGAGCTGCTGTGAGCACAACGGGCCTGTTTTGGATCATGGAAGACTTAATCACCTATACATCTTCATCCAAATCATCTGGATAACAGCAACCATCCTGTCCACAGACCTACTCTTTGGCAATGGTAATTGCCTGTTGCACACAGGCTTGCACAGCCTTCTGTACACACACAAGCCCTGATACACCCATCTTCACCATGGCAGTCACAGCTTCAGCTGTGGGGAGGAACAGATGATGACACAAAGAAAAGTAATGACACAGAAGAAAGACTAATAATTAAATGAAGAATTCAAATGTTATGTGTGCCAGTCAACAAAATCTACTGGAAAAATAGGTCTCATCAGAGAAACCTAAGATGACATTACAGTCTTTGACTGTTCAAAGGTAACGTCATAGCTGGACTAATTTTTTCAGGAGCTTGACTTAGTACCCGCATGCTAACAATCAGAAAAAAAATTACTTTTTGATGCAATGAAGGACAAATTCATTCCATCAAGAACTGGATGAGCAGTTCATAGCAGTTATTGTTGACACAGTTGTCTTTGAAAACTGATGTTTCCTTTAGGGCCTTTTGAGTTTCCTAAATACCTGTAAAGTGAATATAAAATCAATGCTAATCAAACTTGAAGTGATATGGCACTGTCAGTGTGATAAACGGTGACAAGAATGGGGTATCCAGCAAAAACTGTTTAAAAAGCTGTCATCAAGAAATGAAAAGTAGAATCATTATAAGGAATACAAAAGTGTTACATCTTAGTCAATGTAACAAATTAGAGAGTCAAAACCAAGCAGGTGTCTAAGTATATGACTGCAGCAAAAGGGCAGACGTAATTTCTGGATATGAAATAAGGAA